CACAGTATCTTCTTAGATTTATTTTAGAGCAATATTATTATATACTACGATGTTAACACTAAAATTTTATAATATTTAATAACTTCAAAATTAAATCCCTTTTTCTACCCATGTCAGTACAGTACACTGGTCCATTAGTACAGTAATGTTAAGGGAAACTTCCTTCAATGCTGATATATGTAGTTTGATTTTTTCACAATTTCCACTGAGTTGAAAACATTGCTTCCTTTCGTATTTAAATTTACATAACTGGACGAAATAATTTTGCGTATGTCTTAAAGTTTCATTAAATAATAATCTAAATTTTCTATGTCTAGTAATAGTCTAGTAAATGGAAGTTAAAAATATCGTTATTTTGGAAATGATAGTTTAATAAGTTGGGATTAATTTTGACAATTAATTGCGCTAATAAAAAATAAAAGTTTTCGATCTTGTGGATTGAACATCCGCTCCATGAGAGGAATTAAAAAACTTTTTGAGACAAAAGTTGTAGAAAATAAATATTTTAAACATTTTTCACACATATATGTTTTTAATATCAATAAATTGGTAGGATGCATAGTTGTAATAACATTTAACTTGACATGATTCTTTATTAAACGAAATATTATTTTTAGTCTCTTTCATGCTTAAATAATTTTATCTCTAACGCTTACTAATATTAAAGTTAGAAACAAAAGTTATATGCTAGTTTATAAGAACTTAATTGATGCTAATGAGTGCATAAACTAAGAATCAACCAAGAAAGTTGAAGGAATATGTTATGTTTGAATTTATTTTGGTAAGCTCGTCTTCAGTTACATATCGTCTAGTAACGTCTTCAGTTACATATCTTTAATATTACATTTGATCTGGATTAGAATATTTTATACATTTTCCCATAATTTGCAATTATAAAATCAACACATCAAAAGCATTGCTATTCAGTCTTCTTAGAACTAATAGGTTTTTACTTATTTTTTAACAGCAACAAACCATAAAAATTTAATAAATTTATTAATCTTGGTTGCTCTATTATTGCAATTAAAAAAGCAAAATTATTGCTAAACTCCCAACTTCAGATTTCTGAATTCATCTCAATTCCATACCACGTCTGAAGTTTAAGGTAAGTTCTTCTACGAACAAAAAATTTATTAGATCGTACTGCCACTATAATAAGTAGCAAAGATGCAAGTTTAAATTATTGATTGTCTGAAACCTTCGTAATGATCTTTATGGAGCAATATGAAAACTCTTGAAAAAGTCTGTGTAACAGCTTAATATTTAAAAATTCCGCTAATATTATACATACTATCATACTATTATATGTTAATTATATCAAGTATTATATTACTATTATAGGTTTGGCAAGTATTGATGTCGCTATTAACACTTTTTTGAAAAATCTTCACCAATTGATTAATTGATATGAGTATATATGATATCTGTCTTTTGTTTGAAATTTTGAAATTGTCAATAGTTAATAGTTGTTAATTACATAGTTGATATTTAATTATTAGATGTGACACTTACACACTGGATGTGACACTGATACAAAAAATTTGTGTGTGAGTGTCACACCTAGTGTATTATTTTGCAGTAAGGAAATTTAATATATTAAAAAGCGCAGGTTTATTGGTTAACCAGAGCTATAAAAATAAAAAATATTAAGTATGCATTGCACCACAAAAAACTAACTTATGCGTTCCTATAAATAAAAGTAACAGTTTGTAAATAATAAATAAACACTCAAGCAAACAATAACTAATGTTATAGATAATATAACATTTAACATAACTAATAGGTGCTTTCGGCAACTTTTAAGTGTTACAAAAAAACAACAAGTTGCTTGCTTAAAGTTGCTAATTTGTATGCAAAACAACAACACTACTTTTTCTATCTAAGTACCTAAGGATGAAGTGGCCAAATATTTTAGCGACTCCAGAAAAAAATGTTACCAAAACATTAAGTGATTTATTGTGAACCTTAGTTGGAAATTTCAATGAATATTCCAGTCATGTGTCGAAAGATTGGAAACAAAAATCCAAGCAAATTTAAAAAATTTCACAAATTTGAAAATTGTGGAAATTAAATATTTTAAAAATATGCAAAATTGTTGAAAATGTTATATTTTAAATATATGTATATAGTACATATAAATATATACAAAAAATTTTAGGAGTACGTGAAGAATGTCAACAAGTTTCACTTGTTATATTCTTTATGATTTTTTTTTTTCGTGTAAATTACGTATACAAATATTAAGTGCCCAAAATCAGTGCACTAAACACTTGCTTTGAGCATTGAGGATAAAATTTCAAACAGTAGTGCCAATGTCGGGAGTATAAAATAAGTTACACTTGGAAATTTCTGCTGAAAACTTCTATAACATATAAATAATTTCAATGGTAAGAATATTCGCATAGTTCTGTTCTGTTTAAAATCGGCCAAAGAAATATCTTTCTAAGATATTTCTTTGGCCGATAATGAATTTTTAAAACGTTTTGTTTTTTCTGGTATATCCATTTTAAAACCGATATTAGTAAATGCAGCTATTTTAAACAATATAGTCTAGTTTTCGAGATATCGATCTTTAAATTTAGAAATTTTTACATGAAAACAACCGACAACAAGTTATTTATTTATTTCTTTGTGTTTTACACAATTGCTGTTTTTTTTTTCATTTATACTTCTTGATAAAACTAATAATCTTAGGGTTAAGGTGACAGCATTAGTAAATTGAGGTAGGATAGGTAGTACAGCGAGGAAGTTATTTGACGGTAGGTGAGGGTAAAAAGATGTGAGAGTTGTAGAATAATGTAACTTAAATTCACTTTAATTTTATTTTAGTACTGCTCTAAATAAATAATAGTAATAATATTAGTAGTAATATATAATGACTTTAATTGTAATAAATTCACATTACTTTAAACAAAAATAACTAAAAATCCCACATACATATATATACATTTATATTTTAAACAGAATATTATAATTACTAAATTCAAGCAAAAGTCGCGAATAATGACCAATTACCTGTTTAATTACTTTTCCTTGTTGATATAAATATACCGTTAAGCTACACTATTTGTATAAAAATCTAAGTTTTAGAAACCAATTTACTTATTAAACGAAAAGTTCACAAAAGGCAAATTTCATATGCAAATATTCTATGTACATCGATTTAAAATCCATTGCTTGAAGCGGACAAAAATTCTGCACGCAGTGGCAGCGCTGCATCGCGTACAGTTTGAAGTACATTGAAATAGCATTTTTCTTACTGTGAATTAGGCAGGCCATCATATGTTTATTGTTTACATTTTAAAGAAAAAAAATTTGAAAAATAATAGCAATTACAGAACTTATTAAATAAATTCATTTTAAATAATTTTTTAGTACAAAAATTAAGCTGAAAATTTACTTACATATGTACGCGATAAGAAGTAATAATAAACAATTTTTTATAATCATTACTCATTTATTATTTATTTATAAATTGAAAAATTTATATATACATATATAAAAAATATATATAAATAACATAAAATCAAATAATTGTAAACCTACAGAGTTTAACAGTCTAAACAGATAAGAACTTTCAGAGCGTGAGTGCGATTTATAAAACGAAATGCACAGAAATACCAAAATAACATCTAATATAAAATAAATAAATATATTGCGAAAAGAGTGAGAGCAGAAACATATTGTGAGGTTTTCATTAAAAAAGGCAATGCTAATATTTCTTCCCAAAATTTTATTTTAAGTGCTTTGAAGTAAATGCTTGAAAGTCGTACGATTGCGCGCACTTCGCAATTAATCGTGAATAGATAAAAGCGATGCGCTTCTGATGCAGAATTTAATTAGATTTGGATCATCTTCAATATTTATATATATTATATTGTCATTTATTTGAATCCAAGCAGTTAAAAATAGCTTTTTACATAAAAGCGTTATAATTCCTTCTAAATAAAGTTAATAAAAGTTATTTTTTTAATTCAAATAAATAATAAATAAATAATTTTTAATAGAAAACACCAACGGTTTTTTAATATCAATTTATTTAAATTTAAAACATCCGCACTTACATTCTCATCTTCTAAAACTCAAAAACCAAAATCCGCTTCTGCAAGTTCTATTTTTCTATTTTTCACCTTTCAGCTACTTTTCCTTCAAAAAAATCCATAATCTTTTAATGAAAATTAAGTCGAGACTTAAGGCTCGTAGCTAGGAATTGTGGTACTTCAACAATTTTTTTGCAGTTCTAAAGAAGACGAGCCCGCACTATAATTGCTTACTATTTTGGATAATTATCTTGATCAAATTAAAAATTAAATTTGTGCCCGGAATTCAGTAAAGAACGCTATAGTTTCGTAATTGATTTAAAAATGTATATTCACTATTTATTTTCTTTTTCTTTTTTTTAATCGAATCAAGATAATGGTTGTTTTCTTTACATATATGATTCTTAAAAAGCTGATTTTCAATGATGACTAACACCGGTTACCAGGATGTCCATTATCACAAATGTGATATTGAAGTTAAGTAAATAAAAATCTTACCTATTAATCAATTTAATATGACACGTAGCTAGTAGTGAGTAGTTAAAGTGTTCTAAATAGCTTTAAAATTAACTGTTTAATTTTATAAGTGCAGAAAAGTGCTGTTAGTGCTAGTTTTTTCATATTTAATGTCTGCTAATTTTGTACATATTTCTTATATGATTTCTAAAAACATGATTCATTTGATCATTTTTTGCTTTAGTCTGCCTCTGGTCTAAACTAGTCAATATTTTATAAATACCCCAGCAGACGGTACAAATAAATCGTCATTTACCATAGACATTGAGTACTACTTTATGCTGTAGTCTGTTAAAAGTAGTGTAAACTATTAATAATAATTACTTCTTGTTTATATGTATTTATTTAATGACTTTCACACTCTTTCTTAACAATATAAAATAACTTAATAACAAACTAATTAATTATAGAAAATAAATAAAATACTTAATGTGGTATAAAATATTCAAATACAATAATATTTGCACTTTCACTGCACTTCATTGGTTAAAAGTTCGAGATCCAAAGTCTCATTAACCTATTTTCAACTTGGATGCATTTGGGTCGAATACAAATTCTTGTACATTGCACGTTTGTGGATGCAACATACGAGAAGGGATAAACATCAAAAGCTGTCATTTGACATAACTTTGTTTATCCATGGAACAAATTTTTGTATGTTAGTGTAAACACCAGGAAGATGTTCACGGCCACAACCAATTCCCCAGGACACAAGGCCTATAAGAGTTTTTCTTCCATCCAGTGTTAGAGTAAGCGGTCCACCCGAGTCACCTTGGCATGAGTCGCGACCTCCTTCTTTATAGCCTGCGCATAAAAACACATCATGTATTGCTTCTCTGCGTCCAGCAGCACGAAACCATCGCTGACAACGATCATTAGAGAGCACCTCCACATCAACTTCCTAATATTAGAGTAAAAAAATTTATTCCAAGATAGCCACAAACAAGAGGATAGTAGGACAAACCTGAAGAACTGATGGTACTGTGCTTTGCCCGTGTCTTGTACGTCCCCAGCCTGTTCATCCATCAATTTTAAAGTAAATTTAGTTCAGTATTACAAAAATGTATCACAACTTTGTCATTACCTGCAACAGTAGCCATTTTACCAACCAGCTTTGTAGCTGCGGGCGGTAAGCAAACCGGTATTATGTGTTGTTTATAAACCACAGATCGATCTAATCGTATTAGTGCCAAATCATTTTTGAAATCAGCAGGATTGTAGTTGGGATGAACTTCTTTTCGCTCAATTCCGTACTCTTCATGATTAAGGCGTTCCTCTTGACCGCGAACATCCCATTCACCAAGGCGTATTTTCATATTTGAATTAGTTGTGCTGAAATTTAATATTGCAATTAATAATGGATTACCATATATTTATTTAATATTACGAAATAAATAAAATTTGTAAAAGAAATAAAATGGAGTTAAATAAAAAAGTCATATAAAGGTTAATAACTCACGTCGCTACACAATGCGCTGCTGTCACTACCCATCGATTAGATATCAAAGCGCCTCCACAACTGAGCTTACGGGATAGGAACCCACTTTTTATTAGGGCTACTTGCCAAGGATGTGAGCCAAACCCAGTGGAATGTCCTCCTACAATTCGATTAGAACGTGTAAACACCTCGCCGCAACCTTTCGAAAATAAATAAAATTATTCTTGAAATAAAATATAAAGAATTGATCAAGAAGTAATAAACTCAGAATATAGATAAGTGCTGACCAAATCACATGCAGTGCAGGTAAAAGGGAAAAATTTAAAACAAGTGATATAATATGCGGAAGCTTAAAAACTGAATGTGCAATAAAGCATGAAAATCAAAGAAATCAAAGAAAGTAGATAGTTTATCAATTTTTGTACCCGGAACAGGACGGTAGATTCCATCTTTGTATAGTCCGCCATTATTGTAATCTTCTGCAGCTTCACCAGCATTTAAATCGAGAACATTTCCAGTTGCAAAAGGTTGTGGATGTGGCAACAATATGGCAGGATTATCATTGGCCACATGATTGGGTCGGTCAGTATCTACGAAAGTGTCGACTTGACTTGTTATGCCATTATTGGAAACGGTACCGATTCCCAATTGATTTGTTTCATGCTCCCAATCATTCACATAAGATGCGGGGCGATAATTATTTGGTTTGTAGGGAATAAGATGGGTATGAGGGCGATTTGTGGAGTGTTGGGATGGTGTTATTTGGTAAGGATGATTACTTATAGCATCTAACACCGTTTGTGGCGACACTAAAGGCGTATTTTGTGATGAGTACATATGAGCATGATTTTGTGTTGAAGCAGAATTAAGCGTAGCATGACTAATGCCTGCATTGACGAGATTACCATTGCTGTTATATTTGTTGTGATTCGCTAATTCAGGATATATGTCGTGCAAATGGATAATGTCACCTGAGGAAATGAAAATATAATAGATCGCGCTAAGCAGTTTGTTGGGAATTTATCTCTAAAAATATTATCATAATTTTTAATTCACATTATTACACTTAAGAATTAATTATAATAGGTGATATTTCGACATTAAATAATGCTTAACCTGCAATTTAGTTTTATTTATTCATTCATGAATAAACATATATCTCAGCGGTTGCAAAAGTAGTCTCATAGAAAGTTTGATACATATCTTTTTCGTGCCTACTAGCTACAATTAGAGGTAAAAATAGGTGTTTCTGATTCAGCTTTAAATTCTAAATTGTAGATTTCTAACTATATATCAACACGTCAAAATTCGACAATTTTTTTATATTCGAACGCGAATATGTACATATAATTTTCGAATTTCGTGTGTATGGAGACAGAATGTTAAATTTACACCTACAGTTTGAGAGTTATAATTTTATTTGATGGAAACAACATTTCCCTTGTGTAATACCAATATCTCTAAAATGTTCCGATACAAATTTGAACAAAACAGTTTGATTTGACAATTAATTTCATTTGAGTGATTTTCAGTGAAGTTCAAACTTTATCGTTTCCGCAGCAATTCAATTAATGGCTTATAGCATAAACTAGACAAAACTGCCATAAGGAAGCTTAGACTTTTATAATATTGAATGAAATATAGGTGTAAGTCCACAGGGAGCATATACACTTCACTGCAAATTTAAAGTATAGTTTCTTTCAATTGTTAGTGTACTAGGTAAGACGATGTAATACATTCAACTCATGGAAATCATTATAGCTATAACACTCCGTACTTTTCATTGTATTACCTTATTAATACTGAATATTTAATTCCCAACTATCTTTAATTTTACTTAATATTATTTTAAGATAATTGACAGATTAAACTTTATAGATTCTTAAGAATCGGTGCCCCATAATGAGGAGTTGCCTTTTTATCAGACCATTTCCGTCTAAAAAGGTCTTGCATATTAAACAAATATAAATACAAGTTTTGTATAAATGAATAAATTATTTTAAAATTAATCATTTAAGAAAAAGTATATATAATTGAAGGTGGATTTATATTATACCATATTCTCACATACATATCTATATAATATTTTGCTGCTCTGGTCATAATAGTTCGCAGAAGCTTGGACGTTATCACAGAGTGATGAAGCAGCATTGAGAGTTTTCGAGTGAAAACTTTTCGTAAGATCTTTGATCCTCTACGAATTGGCGACGACTACCGCATCTGAATAACCACGAGCTTACGAGATTTATCACGATATTGATACAATTCAGCGAATTAACATCGGCTTCGCTGGCTTGGTCATGTCGTGAGAATGGATGAAGATGCATCAGAGAGAAAGGTATTTGGGGTGGACCGTGTTTCTGGTGGAGTGATCAAGTTGTGGGAGCACTAACCAAATTTGATATATGAGAATGGAGAAGCCGAACACACTAAATAAGTTAATAAGTCATAAAAGTTGTCGACCTGTTTTAATGCCGATCATTTTATTATTATTTTATATATTTGATGTATATTCATATATTTTCCTTTCAACCCACAATACCTCAAAAAAGGACATTTGAAGTCCTATATAAAACCTTTTTATCAAACTAATAACAATCGTTATGACACACACAGATGTATTGTTAAAGTGGTACCCGAGACTACAACATCTAGACAAAGCCAAATCTAACGTATTCTCCGAATAGAATGGCTTAACACAATTTCGAATGAAGAATTATTAAAAGTTGGGCTGTTTGAAAGCCCACGAGGTACAAAATATGATTGAAAACCTCAAGCAATGTGGAAGAGGACATCCCTTCATTAACCTGGGCTATATTTAATGAACAGCATCTAATAGATTAAGGTTGAAATCTTTGTGGATTTGGATATAAAGCAGATACTGTATGAACTGGAAACTGGAATTTTATTTTGTCGTGCATTCAATGATTTCAAATTACAATTTCAAGTTTAATTTTTTTTTTGTATTTTGTAGTATATTGCTTAGCAACAAAATAAAAGTGAAAAAGGGGAGTCACTAAACTCGTATCTCTTCTTCTGCGACTACCTAAGACAGTACTAAAAGAAGTAAGTTCTTTCTCCCTAAGAACACTATCAACTTTTCGGCCCTACGTATTGATATTGTTTTTTCAACCATCAATCTAAACCAACAATTATCAGGGGTTTCTACAAACAAAACAATTATATAGATTTATTATAATTATATGAAACTAATAATAGAGGCTGCCTTATACGCGTATTATATTGGGCCAAAACCATTCTGCGATCCTTCATTGAACTTTTTCAAACTTAAAATTAATGAATGACTAGAAAAAGCAGTTTAGATTGATTGGGAAAATGTGATTGCCTGCAGACAACCTAAAGAATTTATGTCGAATAGATTAAAAGCCAGAACTAGGGAGCTATTAATGCTAAACAGAAAAGGTTCCGACTTGTCACAGGTATTCTCACTGCACATTTATCGAAATTCACCGAAAACATCTATCGTATCTAGATATTACAAGGGACGATAGCTGCAGACTTTGTCAAGAAAAATAGAAAACAGCAGAACATATTCTGTGTCACTGTGATCTGTAATAGTTTTACCAGACTCAGACTTCAGTATTTATCAACCTATCCATTTATAACAGAAATAGACAACATCTCTCCAAGGGACATAATGACATTTTTAACTGCTATAGAACGCCTATAGAACTAAAGTGGGTTTGTCACAGTAATTCTCAGGGGATTCTCAGGGACATGGTGACATAGTTCTCAACACTTTCAAAATCCATCTAATCTATATATATGAAAATAAACGTATTTCTTTATATTTATATAAGCAAAATAACGTTCAGAAATTAGAACAGATCCGAACATTTCCGAATTAGAAAATGGTTCTAATTCGAAAATGTCTATTGTCATTATAATTCATAAGTCGTTTAAGTCGTGCTTAAACTAAGAAATAACTGAACATTTATGTGAAACTGTTTATATAAAGTGTAAGTTTGAGCGGCAGCGCCAGGACTCTGTCGATATTCTGTTCGGTGAAGAGAACTGGTTATGAAGTGAAATGATGGTTATGGTTATGAAATGAAGTAAAAAATGAAAAGTGGGGACTAACAACATTGCACAGTTAAGACAGATGTTTGTTAGTTAGATTGTCAGTTTAAGACAGCTTTCTGTGTATATACCAGAGAAACTACTTATAGGGTTTTGTTTAAGATTTTTCATAAGTTGTAATTGTGTACTTTCATTAAAGTATGAAATTAAAAATCTACTTAGTATACCCGCACTGAGCCACAAAGTAGCTATTTTTGTTTTAAATGTCAGTTCATTTTTCAATCCGTTTGTACTGCTAATGCGCATACTTTTATAGTTACGCTTAAAAAATCTTTTAATTGCAAAATAAAGTGTGAGACTTTTATAACAGTATCTCAGCAGCGTTTGTTTTATGTGACTTTTTGAATGGAGAAGCTTTTCACATAAAAAAGCCACAAAATTTCACCTTTGGAACTAACTCATCCAAGTTTATTATTATTAACACCATAAGTCTGATTACTTCGTGTGGTTGTTGGTTTGTTCGGTTGTTCGTTTGTTCGGTTGTTCGGATGCGGAAAATGAAGTGCAGCGTTTACACTTGAATACAAAAGTCGCAAAAGAAAGTAAAACCATAAACTTTTTACAGAAAACCCAAACGACTTCCGCTGCTAAGCAGTTTCTTTACACTTACATTTCCACATTTCCACATTTTCACATTTCCACATTTTATTCATTATTCACACACTCGCGGACACATTCAAAGGTAAACAATCTTTTTAAATTTATTTGTACATATTTAATTTCCTTAAAGAAATACTAAATAACAAAGGTTGTGAAAATTTTAAAAAGAATTATTAGAGCAAAACTGTAATACGTTTTATAATTCACAGCGAACACCAACAACGCAGAAGCAATACCCAGCGCCGTAGCTTAAATTATATAAAATTACATAACTCTTTGTGGTTGAAATTCGTCGAAATAGTGAAGATTTTATTATATAAAGGTTAACTTATTACTTACGGATGAACCTTAATGTGTATTATGTACACATGAAATATATGTATATGATTTTGTAATTACATATATAACTTGTATATTCAGAGAATTATTCACTCTGTCAAGACGAATTCTACTTTCTTTTATTAAAATCCATCATTTTTAAAACTGACTTTATATCATCACAAAAGAGTTTATAACTAAAATTGTGGAAGAAGAAATACAAATGTATGATCCATCTGATACTATGCGATAGTACGAGGGTCTAGTTGTGAGTAGAAATAATACTAGTTATATTGTGAGTTCAAATATCATTACCACTGAAAAGTTATGATCTTTAATTTAACACTTTTATTTGCGTTCAAAGTATTTGGCATATAATTTTATCCACTTTGATAGAGACACCCACAAAATACAATTATTGAACGGTTCAAAAATTTCTTTCGGACGAACAACGTTGCTCACAGAATTTGTTCCAGCGCCCACACTAGCACTCTTTAACGTCACCTGAAAAAAGGCAATCTACCACCTCTTAAGCATACAATATACAAAAATCTTTCAAATGAAGATAAATATATTTTATTTTCAATATTTTCTAAGTGACACTGCATCACATGACACTGTAGTATATAATAGTAAAAATGATTTAAAAAATATCTTCATCTAACCTCATGATATAGGATAGAAGACCGAGATAACACTTTAGTCGTAAAGCTATCTATGCTATATAGTCGTGAAGAGACTAATTCTTGCATTACACTGATCTCTACCTTACACCTTTGGCTTCACGTGCTACATATTAAAAACCATGGGCTGAACTTTGTGAAGAGCTTGGAAATTAACAAGGAATAAAACGTTCCTTTGAGTAAATAAATACACTTCTAGGGATATGGATAATTCTGCCTCCATCACGCTGGCACGTGAATTTTAGACAATTTGATTTCAAACTCAACAGACGGTAATATAGTTGGAACCTATCCATTATATATATAACCTATTCATTATTTGTTAAACTAATTTGCTATTAATTAGCAATATTTGCAACATTTTTGGAGTAACATTTAGGTCTGGAGTAAAACTTAACTTTCTTTTTAAGATAAATATTGTTTAGGCATCCTTTCCAAAATTGCCATAATTTTCTTGGCTAATTCTACCAAATTTATGTCAACAGAATCACCATTGAATAAAATACATTTCAAATTCTTATAGTATTTTAATAGTATTTATTAAGACATGGTATTTAAGTGTATTGTTATACATTATATATGTTATATGTTGGGTTATTATTTATTATATTTTTGATGGGTTCAACTTGTATGAGAGGTTCCTTTTCTGCTTCTAACGCTATGTCGTGTTATTATGAATCTAAAATTAGCCTCTATTGTAGTCTCGGTATCATGTTTTCTTGCACCGATAATAGTTTCATAGAAGCAAAAATCTGATTAAAGATTCCTAAAAAAAAATCTAAATCAAAATCTACTAAATCAAAACCATTTGATTAAATTAACTTGTTTTAATGAAATAATGGAATTTACTATTTTATCCTAAATAATTAATCAACGAAGAAAATTTACATGCTTAATGTAATTTATTAAAATTCATTAAAATGATAATGAGGTTTTTCGAACAGTAGTGAACTACAACAACAAAAATTTTATTTTTTTTTTTTTTATATAATTTTAATAAAATGATAATGATTTTTAATTGGTAATAAATATTTTGTTTTTTACCTATGCTTAGCTAGTCTTCATATATGTCCCCGAAATGAATTCTTAAACGCTTTAAATCTTCTATCTCAGTTTCCTATCCAATATCACCCAACGCCTTCAACATTGAACCTTAATATGTATGTTTTAAAGGTATTTCCCATCAAGAAGTAGATGTTCAAAAAATAATATGTTGAAGACATTAGCGGCTTTTGTTTTATCAGTATCAACAAGATAGAGAGAAGCAACAACATGGAACATAGAATCCTTGTAAATTATATAGATGAATTCTAGAATACATTTATGCTTTGATGCCCCTCATATAAGGCTCAACTATTTTGGTGATAACTGCGATTGTTAGAACCACCTAATGCCACTAATTTGGTTCAACATTAATAATTTTTTGAGCGATCAACCCTGTAGTTTTGCAACACTTAATTAAGCATTCACCATATTTATATTTGCCTAACTTTTACAGTCAAAATGGCGCCCTGAAATTGTTCTCCTTGAGCGGGTCCTGTTTGTTTTTGATATTTAATTATAAGAAAAATTCATTAGCTGTCACCGTAGGACTTATTAATTCGATGTTTCCAGTGTTCAAAATGCATTACTAAATTTAATGCAATTTTAAAAAAATTATTGTTAAAAACTAATCGGATGTGGTTTCAAAAGTTCAGTCAAGACTTAAACCACACATTTTAGTTTACATATATTACTCTAAACTAAATAAAAATATTTTAAATACCCGTGTTATCATTTGATGTACCATATTTGCGAATTGCAAACTTCCGGAAACAGAAGTTTCCCATAGTATAATTAATTAAGTAATTTCTTGTTGTTTGTCCTCCACGACTCAAATGCTATCCTAGACCACAAAGATTAACATGTAGACTCAAATAAACTATTTAGTAGTTTAGTAGTTTCACTAAAATACAATACAGACAATATAATCCATGGTTACCGAGATTTATGGAACATTTTTACAAACTTTTATTTTATGTTCATATAACATATCTCTTAAGATATTAAGATCTAATTTTTAGAGATTTTCGTTTATTTTCTTTTGTTTTGTTTTTATACTCACTTGTTGTGTTTACTTGACCACTGTATGTATCTTCTGAATTGAGCTCTTTATCAACACAGCACGACCATATCATTCCTCCAGAACAAAGATCTAGCGGTTTGCCGCCACCAAGTACACACGATATCGAAAGTCCACATTCAAATTTATGGCCACGAAATCGGCAAGATTGTGGAATCACTGGAATATTGAGTTATATAAAGTAATGTTTATAATAATAGACATAATATACTAAAGATTATATTATAATATGTAATATTTAATATGTAATGTGAAATATATAAAAAGGATAGCGATGTTTTCTTATTAGCGATGTTTTCTTCTCCATCTTGTTTATACTTAGTATTACATATACTTTTATATATTTATTTTTATATGTCCTACACATTACGATGTTGGTGTGTATAGTCTAGATCCACAGTTATATGCCATTCAACCTTAAAGTGAAGAGTAAAGCAGGATTAATTCTAACCCCGTTCTAACTTTTGGCAGCATAAATGTGTCAAACGGCTTGTGCCGTTATGAAGTATATTAACTATCATATGTAATTCTTTAATCATATGTAATTAAAGAATATCTATCATTGCTATAACGAAATAAATTCGATCCGTTCCTAAAGCGTATATTATAATTGGATCACACACAATGATGCTGTACAAAAAAGTTGTCGGTTAAAGAAATGGAACTCCACAAACAGTATCGGACATATTAACAATAGGGAAATAATGCAATATGTTTGATGGAATTACATGCACAATATTAATCGATTGATTCAAATCTCTATTTTCAACAAATAATACAACTAAGATAGGAAATTGAAAAAATAAGTTGGAAAAACATTGAATAACACACATCTTACGTGAGACGTCAAAAATTGTAAGATCTTGATTTAGAAATTTGGATATAGCAAATATAAGGCCTCAACATTGCACCAACATTCAACATTTTCAACACTAATTTATTAGCGTGAAATCAAAAAATTCTAATTCGAAAGAATTGACAATATTAAGATTAATAGCAAATAGTAAACTTTAAGTTATAATTTATATAAAAATTGATTACTTAAAAGCATTTCTTCAGTTAATTTTATAAAATTCTATTAAAATTTGACTACCTGAAGATGGGCTACACATGTTCAGGGTGTAGACTTAACAAAGTAAGCTTTATTCACATATAAACTAACACTGATCACAACTGATGTTGTCATTTATGTTATTTAATAATTTAACATATTTTTTATAAAAATTTAAATAAATAAATTTTATTTCATGTATTGAATTCGAAATCTGTAAATTTACACCAGTGGGTCATCGAGTAGCTCCTAATATTTTCCGAGTATTAGGTATTAATTTCTTCATTGTTGCATGGTTATAACCACCGATTGGGGTCCTTAATTTAGTGTTTGTTTAATTAATATATTACCATCGTCATACGTTACGTTCGTCACCGCCATAATCTCATCCATTTCATCAATTGCTATTTTTTTTTTTATAAAAGAAATGGTTTTGTATATATCTCCAATGTAACATTTTAGTTTATTTAAGTTTTTGAAGAGACCGAATGTATGTGTCCCAGGAACATATTTTTTTAGTTGGAGGTCACATTTAGTTTTACCTACTCTCTTCACTTTTTTTACTAAAAAATAGTCTTTCTGAGAAAGTAATTTGAATAGTATATATCTTCTTTTTTAATTTTCAACGTAAAAAATTGAAAATATATCTTCAATCAAGTCCGGCTTTTATGAAAAGAATGTACAGAATTGTATATTATCCCGCTTTGGTGTCTTTTTGATCCAATTTATTTTCAATTTATTGCTTTATCTAATCACTAAATTTTTCTTAGTTTTCTTTTCTGATTTAATATATTTGGCGTACCCTCATACCTTTCATCTCTATTACAGTAAATATTCCGTCTACATATTTTGTTAATAACTTAAGCTTTTTAGCTACTTTATCTATAATTTTTTCTAACATTTTTCCATATTAATATCGGTAACTATAGGCGAAATCGGTGAACCTATCAACATATCGTTTGTTTAGCTGTAAGATTTATTATCCAATTTGAAATAGAAGTTGTGAATTTTATTTAAGAGGAAACTCAAAACCACTAAAATAGTTTCGCTTTTAATATAAGGGATTACACTATTTTTTATTTTTAGTGTAGAATCGACCGGTTTACTTGTAAAATAGTGAAACTAAATCAAATGATACAAGTTTCTTTATCATCCCAAGTATATGAAATGTTAATTTTATTTGAAAACTTTAGTATTTTTAAATTACTTTTTATTAAAAAAATGAAATGGTTTCATATATATTGCTAATATATTAAATATTATATAAATACAACAACCAACAACAAACAACCAATAAAAAGTTTTTAAATTTTTCCATAAATTGTTGTTAATTAAATTAATTGCAATTAATTACGTTTTAAGTCACACGTAACAGTATACCACGCATGCCATGAATACAAAAATGTTAATCTCTTTTATGCAGCTGGGGAATGAGGAATATTAAATAGTAATAAATTTTTTAAGAATTCGAATTCTAATTTTAATTCTAACACAGGGAATAGTAAATTCACTCTCTCACAAACATATTGTATATCATATAAAAAATGCAAAAAAGAAAGAGTAGAGTATAGAGTACAACACATTTTAATAAGATCACTGTAACATGCAAATATATATAACATACATATATGATATGATATCGTTCGACATCTCGAATAATTATTTATGCCATCCACACTTAACACTCCTAAGGTCTTTTTAAATAGATCTTGGCTAAACATGTTTTATGTACAAACTCTTTGCGAAAACTTTTCGTTTTAAAAAGACTACACATGTTAACTTTGACGTTTCATTTTATTTACATTAGGTCTTTTCTTTTGCAAGCATATCGCAGAAGAACAACATAAGATAACCACTACTTTTGATGGCAACTCTGGAAGAACTGGAAATATATGGTTATATACGTAAAACACGTAATAAAATTTAAAGTTAAATATTTTATTTTTTACATGGTTGTGAATAAATTTTTAAGAATTGAGTATAATTTTTTAATATCAGTGTATTAAAAAGAATTACGTATTATTTGTCAAATATTTGTTGATAGTTACATACTTGTACTTTATTTCCAAAAATTGTTCACAGTGGACAACACTTGGCAACCATAAGATTTGAGCTGCTTATTAGTTAAGTGGTTTCAAAAAAAGTGGACTATATAAGCCAGCAGTGTTGTTGTTTCATAAGTTATTTTTTAAATAGGCGGTTATTCTTTTGTGATATGCTTCAAAAGAAAAGGCCTATTGTTGCAATCAGCTGTTGTGATTTTATAAAAATTAAAAGAATAAGATTGATTTCGCAGTTCTTGCAACATTTTTGCGTAAATACTTGAATTTATTTTTGCTGAGCACAATTCTTGAATAACCACAATTCTACAATTATTTGCTCACTTTAATGCGAAATTTAAATTTTTTTTCGTTTTGAAAACATATTTTAATTTTTTTTGAATTCTAATTCAAATCAACATATATTGTACTTGTGATTATTGGGTATGTTCAATTGCAGACAATATAGTCGTTTTATGAATTGATCCGATGCAACCCTGTGCAGTTTATGATTAAACATGTTCGCGAACATGTTTATTAATATTTTAACATTAACAATTATTTCATCTTAAACATGTTTTTAAACATGTTTGTTTAAGTGTATAAATCTGCTCCAAGAAGTTAAATTGATTCAAAACCTCTGTATAGGCTTTGCGAAGATTGTTATGTTCGAATACAAATATCTATTGCTTAGACTGCGAATTTTGTATGTCTTAAATTGAAGAGTGAGAGTGAATGCATATTTATTATTATTTGTGATTTAACATTAAAATTAACTTTAAAGTTAACTAAGAATAAGGAACTAGAGTGCTTGGTCCTTTGCCCTGTGTATGCACAATTCACTCCAAAAACTAGCCAGTTTAGTCATTGGGCTACCCGCTCGTTCTTTGCTATTAATTTTCTTCACAATACTTCAATGAAATCCATACACAAATCATAGTTTCAAAAATCTTAAGAAGATTTTCATGTTCAAATGCAAGTACGTATTATTTTCGAATTATTTTCGAATTTTGTCTTCATACTAAAATTTTAATGAGTTAGTGAGTGAAAAAGTGAAAGTGTATGAAATAATCTTGTTAAAGTGTAGGTTACGTAGACGCTAAGTTAAGTAACGTTTATTTTACGCATAGTACCAACGAATTTATTACGCACTATTGGACAATATCCGACCACAGCGTTTTCGTCTATTGAGCACAAGGTTGCGATATGCGACACCAATATTTTTAAAACGCTCCTTTCACAAAACAGTTACTTTTTAAGTCGCTTCGCTTCGTTTAAACAATTATACAGTGCAAGTCAAACTGTTGTAATTTTCAAAGTTAAAAAAAAATTCAATTATTCGAACTACATTCGATTTTCGCACAAATTTTAGAAGTATGAAGAGAACACATACTTTGAATAATGAAGAATGCACTTCATTTAAGGGTGAACAGATTAAAGGACACTCATAATATTTCATATTTGCACTAATGACTTTATATATAAATTTCTCAATTAATATTTGTTTGCACTTTTTATTTTAATATAATTTAACTAAATTCTAAGCGATTAATATTTCATTTTAATTCAATTTTCTATAATTTTTTATTTTATTATATCGATTCTTTTTGTTTTTATACAATTTCTCTTCTTGAAAATGAAATCATATTAAAGCAAATCAATTAAATATAAAGTTTTCATATATTATCACTCATACAAAAAAATGATATCCTAAATATATCTCTGAAAGGAACAGAAACACTTTGTAGAAGACATTTTCTTGCGAATACATGTAGAACAAAAAGAAAACTTTTCTACACGTGTAGAAGAAAATCAAAAAATTTAACGAGTAGTTCTCCAACAATACGAAAGTTCAGTTTTGCGGCTACCACTGTGGCAGCTTTGATTTTTTATAGTTTCATTCTGCGCAGAGCACAAGTAAAAATTTTTATTTTCACATTAAGATTCTTGCTTTTTATTATTATCGAGTTGCTGACTGGAAATTATATTTAATTTTTTAAAAACATTAAAACACAATCACAAATTCTTCAACAAGCAGACAACAATTAATATTTTAAATAAAATATTTA